AGGTCCGAAGTTTTTTTTTTACAAAAAACAAACATCACCTAAATGTATAAACATATTTTATACGTATTTATATGTATTTTTAAGTATTTTACATATTTTTTTACGTATTTTCATGTGTTATTTTCTTTATATATTACATATTTATATCTATTTTCATTTATTTATCAAATTTTTAAGTTTTTATATGTATCTGTTTATATATTTTTTGTATTTTAAATTTATAAACATATTTTTTTTATGTATTTATATGTATTCTTAAGTATTTTACATAATTTTTTTTTATGTATTTCTATGTGGTTTTTTATGTGTGTGTGTGAGTGTGTGTGTGTGTATATATATATATATATATATATATATATATATATATATATATATATATATATAAGTTTTTTATATGGATGTTTTGTATTTTTTTATGTATTTTAAATATATAATTATATTCTTTTACGTATTTATGTATTTTTTAATTCAACCCGTCTTAACCATTTCATTAAATTTATAAAGCTTCTTCGAATAAGTCTAGATGGTTTTTCTATAAACCCACTTATTTAAAGATTTTGTCATTCAGTTATCTTGAAATTAAACATCAAATAAGAAAATCTTAAAATATGTGGGTGTGTAGGAAAACCATCTAGACATACTCGAAGAAGCTGTGCGAATTAGATGTTTTTTTTTTTTTTTTTTTAAACCATTTCATTTAATTCAAGTCGTCTTAACCATTCCATTTTTTTTAAACATTTTCACACACCTATAAATACACAACTATTTACCATCAAACAAAATTCACACAAACCCTCTACCCTCTCTATTTTCTTCTCAAAAAGAAAAAAAATGAATCCCGACAATCAAACCCCATCTTCCGATCGAAGGAAAAAAAGCCATGATTCGAGTATAAACATCCATTCTCGAAACATTTTTGTTATCGGTTCATCACCACAAGGAGTTTATCGCCCCCAACTCGATGCTCTCATTCAATCTCCACTACAATTTCAATACCAAAATATTGGACAATATTACCCGATGCAAGTTCCAAATGTTTCCGCAAATGTTTTCGAACTTTGTTGTGTTTCCGGATCAACAATCTCCAAATCAACCTCGACCCCATACTCAAACTCAAACTCAAACCCAAACCCACCAAAAACGCCAACTTGTCGACGAGTTGGATGACTCGGAAGAAGAAGAGATGGTTCCCGAAACTCAACCCACACTGCCCCCACAAAGACGTAAAGGGAAAAAACAAGCGCGCGAGAGTGTTGCACAACCGGGAGGACAAAAGCCGACTACATAGCTTTCACACGAAGAGCTAGTTTTGGTCAAAGCTTGGGCTGACATTTCTGAGGATTCGATTCAAGGAAACACACAACCGAGAAACCATTTTTGGTTTTGCATTTTAGAACGGTTTCGAGAGGAGCTAGAAAAAGGTGATGACTACTGTACGAAACATCAACTGAATTCGAAGTTTCGAGAAATAACAAAGGGGGTTTAAAAAATAAATGGGTTGTACAATAACCTAAAAACCCAACGGAAAAGCGGCTAAGGGGTCAAACAAATACTTCAAGAAGCTTTGCAGTTTTACCTTGAAGAAGTCGGAAAACCATTCAAGTGACACGATTGTTGGAAATTATTGGTTCGATGTCCTAGGTGGAAAAAATACGAGCAATAGTTTATTTTTGGAGTCTAACAATTAAAGTGAATGAAAACGGGCTCTAGTGGTTACACAACCTCTTCCGATACTCGGGTCGGTCTAGATGTAAATCAGGATGACGAACTCGAGCTATAAGAATTTATCCGCCCAATGGGTAGGGACAAAGCGAAGAGAAAGGGAAAAGAGACTTCTTCGGGTGCATCTGATTTCAACAGGGACATTGACGAAATGCGGAAAATAACATCGTTATTTGATCGATATAATTTTAATTTCTCCGAACATTTGACTTTTGACAAAGAAAAAGAAGAAACAAGGAAAAATGAGCATGCGGAGAGACAAGAAATGGAGGATATTAAGTTTTTGATGGAAAACGTCGATCATCTTTCGGGGCCGGCTCTCGAGCTCGTGATGAAGAAGAGGAAAAAAATTCTGAAAAAATATTTTCCGTAGGTCGTTGTTGGTTTGTTTGATTTTTAGTTTGTGCGTGTGTGTGTGTTTTAATAATTTTCTATTTTTTTAAATTTTAGGTTTAATATAAGTTTTATTTTAATTAATGAAATGGTTTTTATTTTTAATTAAATTTTATGTTTAGTATTCATTTAAAAATTATAAATCATAAAAAAAAATTAATTTTATTTAATAAAAAAAAATGAGGGAAAAACTTCCCAATCATTGCTTGAGCTTTAGATGAGATAAAAAAAAATAAAAGGAATGTCTAACCCACAAAAAATAAAGATAACTTCCCTCCCATACCGTCCACCCTCCGGTCTAATGAAAGAAATTAAAAAATATAAAAAGTATAAAGGACGAACTGGAACATTTTCTCATTTTATACTTGTTAACAAATCCTTATCGACGGTAATGGATGAAGGAACCAAAACCAATGGATTTTGAAAACATAAGGACTATTAGTATCAATTCTTCTAAAATAGAACGAATACTACATATAAATATACCTACCATGAGGATGAAAACTGTAATTTACTCTAGATATAATATAATAGTGACCTTATTTTTATATATTATTTTCAGTTAGGTAAACAACAACCTGATTTATCACGTATGGTTATACATTTACGTCATTTCTATTTAAATATAATGTAATTAATTAGAATAAGGTTATACGGTAATTAGAATAAGGTTATGATTGGTATAGTAGATAGAAAGTTAACGGAAAACTAGATGTTTATATGTTAATTAGAATAATAAGGTAACGATTGGTATAATAGATAAAAAGTTAACTGAAAAACTAAATGCTAGTTAATAACTTAGTTGCTAAAAACTGTTAAAATTTGTCGTAAAATTATTTATCTAAAAGAATATTTAGAAAATTAACGAATATTATATGTTTTGTAATGTTTTGTAATTTTTCTTCTCTAGCTTCTAGCTAATTTTTTTAAATAAAATTCATCTTTTAGCTGTTCAAAAAAATAAATTATGACACATATTTCATAAGTTAAAGTAAATTAAATAGCAAATAAAAGTTCTGAGAATATTATAGTTTAAATAAAATTTCTAGTATTCCAAATTATATTCGGAGAATTTCTAGACTATCATAACATTACTCTCAAATGTTATCTTGACTAATCTTGAAGGTCGTTTATTATATATATATATATATATATATATATATATATATATATATATATATATATATATATATATATATATATATATATATATATATATATATATTGTATGCATTTAATAATTTTATTGTTAAACAATATTAAAGTCATAGATTTCTAATAATCTTTCAAATATAGTTGTACCGGATAAATATTGCAGCTATTATATCATATCTATTTGAGTATTCTTATTGAACTTTGACATTTTGATCAATATTTTCCACCAGTTATTCAAAACTCCAAACTAACATTGGGGGGCACATCTTCAAAAATATGAATATACACAATTGGAAGCATATTGAACATATATTAATGTCTCATATTTAACTCAACAATTCGTTAGTTTTGGATTAAACGTGGGAAGTATTCCATATTTGTCTTAATAGTAAGATAATCATAAGATCTATTAAAGTCTTATATTAAAGCCCGACAATTAGTTTTCTTGTTCTCTAGACAATAACACTACCTGCACATGGGTTGAATTCCTAACGTTAAATGGCAAAATACGTTAATAATTTCATTTTTAACTAGGTCCACATATAGTTATTTAAAGATTAACAAAATGTTTATAAAAATACCTAACCCAACTCTTTTAGGTATACTTGCTTAACCACGATATGACCAACCCGATTACTTTATTTCCTAACATCTACTTTGAATTTCACATTTTTTAGAGTAAATTACACAAATGGTCCCTATGGTTTAGGTAATTTGCATGCTTGGTCCCTAACTTATTTTTTTAACTTGAAAGATCCCTATTGTTTGTTTTTGTTACGCGTTTGGTCCCTGTCCTATCTAAAAAGACTATTTTACCCTTGATTTTTTTAATTTATTTAAATAAACACACCCCCAACCCCACCCCCTCACATTATCTCACATACCCTAACATTTTTTCATATTTAAATAATAGTATTTTTAGCTAAGATAGGGATCAAACAAGTAAGAAAAACAAATAGTAGGGACCAAACGCGTAACAAAAACAAACAATATGGACCTTCCGAATTAAAAAAATAAGTTAGGGACCAATCATGTAAATTACCCTAAACCTAGGAACCATTCTTGTAATTTACTTTTTTTTTTTTTTTTTTTAAATTTACGATTAACATGTTATACATGCAATAAATGGGCTTGTAATGTCAAAACTCCACGAGAATTTTATTTCGAAACAAAAAACTGTTAGTAAATAAAAAATTATACGCACAATATACATATGAATTTGACGGGTAATATAAAGACTCTAAGATATTAATAAATTAAAATAAAATTTATGAAGGAATGATTAATAAAAGCATATCTAAGAGATTTAAAAAACAAATTAAAAAAAAAAAAGCTTTATACGCCCATTCAAACGCAAATATAGATAGTTTTTTAAACTGTTAACTTATAAATAAAATGAGCTGATATTTTCAAGCATATTTTTTAATGCATCAATTTACTTTTAAAAAGAAATTGACAGTTTTACCCTTTATTATATATAACATTAATTTCCAAGAGCCTTAGGTACAATATATTTTCTCTTCTTCTAATTTTGGCCACCAAACTTTTTCGTTTTCGGGATTTTGCCACTTTAGCCTCTTAAAACTTTCTCTCCACCACCTTTGACTACCGACTCCTTTTTCTCTCCAGTCTTTGGATGCTTCACACCGCCATACTATTCTACATTTTTCTACCTTCCACAAATCTTCCGCCTCTTCGTAGATGCTTGCCATGAGTCTTCTTTCCACCACATGTGTTGTGTGCCCTTTATTCGATACCCCATCTACTTCGCGACTATGATTGTTCTTCTTCATCTCATCAATATCAGGAGAGAAGCATCAGGTCTGCCACCAACTCCTGCTCTACATTGCCGATTGGAACACACTATGTCTTCAGTTCATGTCTATCTTTGTTCCATATTTTCTCAGGTTTCCTTTATTTTGCAGTTGTGTTCACCTTTGCTTTCCGGTTCGTGTGTCTGTCTAAAGAGAGAGGTAAATTCCTTCTTCATTTTGATTCCGATTTCCTCACTAACAAGTTGGATCTTACTTTCAAGTGTAGTTGCTTTCTCATTGTTGTTACATTCTGACAAATATGTAAATGTTGTATTCGTGCTCTTGTCGATACAATCCCGATCTTGTTTATTCCATTTGCAGCACTTGATATACGAAATGGATTACGCCGCCATGGCATTTTGCAGTAAACCAATCACCTCCCCTATGGTATTCAAAATTGTATCACTGTCTGTATGCTATTGAATATTGGGATATTAGATAAATGTAGAATCATATGGGATCATTTTATCTTTTATTTCGGTGGATTCAATGGGTATCATGTGGTCACTGTGCCTGTAAATCAACGAAGTTGACGGTTGATGCAAGCGTTCTATGGTAGTAATTTGATGAATTTTGGCCTTGGATTGCAAATTTCTTTTCTAGATGCTATGGGAATTACTTTGGCTATGCATGAGTGTTTTTCTTAAATGATGTTCAAAAACTGGTTTGATTAATGGTGTAGATTGAGATTTCTATCTCATTTCATCATTTATAGTTCCATTTCGATATAATTCAAAGAAAAAAAATGATATACTATGTTTGAAGATTGCTAAATGAATATATTCTGAACAACAATCAATTTGCTATACTTCATGGCTGCTAGCCCTAACCCTAACCCTAGCCCCCAAATTCTAATTTCATTGATATGTATATATAATATATCCTAATTAGAACTGTTTGGTGCTAAGGTTTATTTATTGGGAGGTATAGTAGAATAAAGAGCTCCCAATGTAGCTTCTTAGTGGGAAACAAGTTGAACTTTCCTAGACAAAGAGTTCAAGCTTCTCAAAAGACTCGTAAATCAGGGAAACATGTAGGATCACTTGGTCCCACATGTCGTGCAGAAAAGATCTTAATAGCAAACAGAGGGGAAATTGCAGTAAGAGTGATTAGAACTGCTCATGAGATGGGGATTCCCTGTGTTGCGGTCTACTCCACCATTGATAAGGATGCACTTCATGTGAAACTACCGGATGAGTCAGTTTGCACTTCATGGGAAGCTCCTAGTAGTCAATCGTAAGTCAACCTAATCTATCTTTATTCTTTCTCACATTGAAAATTAGAAAGTTTAATTCTCAGTTTTTGTTGATCAGGTACTTATAGATACCAATGTCATGTCTGCTGCTATCAGTGATTGATGTACAATGTTGCATCCTGGTTATGGTTTCCTTGCTTAGAATGTTGTTTTTGTTGAGATATGTAGAGGACATGGAATCAAATTCATTGGCCCAAATGTAAGTAACTTATTATTAATATTATCTAGATTATTTAATATGCTATAATTAATGCATGTTTATAGCCTGACAGCATTCATGTAATAGGGGACAAAGCAATTGACACCATAAAGAAAACATATGTCACTCTCTTATCAAAATTTTCACAAACTTCTCTTAAACCTTTCTATTAAATGTTGATTTGTCCTTCATTCCATTACTCAAAATTAGAAGTTTTATAGAGAAGCTAATATCGATTACTTTCTTGCTTTACCGCAGAGCTGTCATAGTAACTACAATGTGTAACAAAGAATTCGCTGAAGATAACTAAGCAACTGAAGATTTTTTTTTTTCAAAATTAAGGATTAAAAGTCTCGATGAGGCAACTATATAATTTTTTTAGCTTTATTAATTATAATTAAACGTAATGTTTTTGGTTAATTTAAGTTTCTTTAACCTATTTTATGAAAGTAGTACCATATTTTACAGCTAAAAAATTGTAGTTATAACTATTTGCTTTTATGTGTAAAGTAACATAAGTAGACTATTATTATTCATATTAACTTTTCTTCCTAACCATAAGAAAAGATGATAGTCAAAATGGCCAAATGGTTAAAGAGTTTGAAAGGAAGAGGCATAACTGGAAAGTTGTAGTTTAAGTTCCAGGTAAGCAAAAATTAAAGAGTTGGTGTAGAACTCTAGATTAAAGTTAAAATGGTAAATATTCAGGGTGTACAAGTTGTGAGATATGAAGGCGAAGTACCAATTCAGGATCTAGAGCTTTTTAGATATAACCGGACAACCTTTAGGAATCTTCCGGGAACCCTTTGTGGTTTCTAGTAATACTTAAGAGTATAGAAGCAATTTTGGAACCCACACATTAATGAGCATAAGGAGTCTCAAGTGACTTTTAGTTTAAGGTGCTTATTTTAAAATATTTCATTTGCATATTTTTTCCATAAATATTTTAAAAATATTTGGTTTTTTATTATGTGTGGGCAACTGTGGGATATCAATATTAGTCCCGCCTCACTTGCTACTTTATATAATATAATTATAAACGATTTGATATTTGACAAGTTTGAATGTTGTTTAGTTGGATTTGAACAACGGATAGCATGCGGTGCTTACAAGTTGATGTTAATGAAGTAAATGAGGAGGAATATGACAAATTTGTAGCAAGATTAGAGCATAATAAGCTTCTTGCATGATTGGAACTATGAAGGCAAAGTAGCACAAGTTGTTTATTGACCATCATGCCCCTGGTCATTTAAAATTTTTTTGGCATCGTTTTGGCTTTTACTTTGTTATTTAGGTTTGTATTTTTTCATATTAAAAAGTACACAGCTCATAAACTATTTTTTGGCTATTACAATAATTTTTTTACCAAAAATGACAATGTACTTTAGTTTTTTTTATAGAAAATGAAGGTCATATACTTTTTACTATTAATAAGGTTCTTATAGATTATGTTATCAATGAATCTAAGAAAGCAATTGGAATGGTTACGGGAAAAGGATGAGAAATTGTAGTCTATGAAAAGGTAACAAATGACACCTTCGGGTAAGTAACACAATATATTTCTCTATTTTTTAAACTTATTTAATGAGTATTATGCCCTTGGTAATTTAAAAGTCTTTTGATGTCATTTTGGCTTTTAAAAGATTGATGTGTGAACACATTGGATAGCAAATATCACCTCACACTAGACACAAACCAATACCACAGAGTTATCCTACTACTACTACTACTACTAAAAAGGTAAAGTGATTCATTTATATCGTATGTCTTGTATTGTATTGTGTTGTAAAAAGTAAAACCAGAGCAACAATTTGAGTAGGCATGGAGATGAGAAAGACCTAAATGCATGGTAGTTACATGTGGAATATATTTTGCAAGCATGACAACTTAACAATTTGTTTTAAGTACTTAATCAATAATAATTTTTACAACGAAATACCTTCTAACCCCCACAACAAGGGGGGGGGGGGGGACTTTCCTAGTTTATATTTAAAGTGTAATTAAGTATTCAAATGCAAACTCCTTCTCCCGCCTCTCAATCTCCATCCTAATTAAATTTAAAACCACCAGAGAGTCTCCCTCTCTCCGTTATCAACCATGCGTTTAAAGAAGAAAGAGTTTATAACAGAAGCACGCTAGTTTTGAAAAGTTGAAAAAATGATGGCATCTTATGAACATGGGCTATGAACACCAATAGAAATTACGATTCCTTACGTTTAGCCTATTTTGTTTAATCCTAATCCTAAAATTATTCAGGCGATGATCTCTAATTTCTCCAGCTGGCTCTAGTTTAAATGTTTAATCGTAGAAGATTTTGCAAAGGAGGTTCCGAAGTAAGAAAAGTCCTTGAATCATCCATATTCACAAGCTCATCCTTTCATATCTCGGTGCCAATGAGAGGTGTTTTCGGTGACAAAACACGAACAAAAGTTATAATTTAGCCAATGGTTTGGATTGGGGAGTGGTGTGAATTTATATAAAAGAAAGAGACATAATAAATTTATACATTGCCTTAGAATAATATTAATGAAAATGGTAGGGATTTTTTACACCGCTCGAGAAAAACGGTGAGGAAAATAAGCAAAATTATGGGTCCGTTGTGCTTACCATCACTATTTTAGAAGTCGGCAAGTCAACAATTGGTTCTCCCTCGCCATTTTCATCCTATTGGAATAAGTCTCTTTTCCGTATTCATAACTATCTTCCTTTGATGCACATACAATCTGAGATGGCAAACTAGAACAATGAAGCATATTACTCGAAGAGGGCATCACGAACAGAGTAGATTTAAAGTGAGAATGATGTTGACGGAAGACATGATTCTACCGAAGATTGTGGTTCGAGGGGACGACCAATAAGTTAAGCAAATGAGGATTAAGGATAGAGTTGTAGGCATAATTCTTAGATCACTTACTAATTGTCGGCTTTTGCAACACCGGAGAAGAACTATATTAACGATAAAACTACAACAATCTAAACTTATCATTACCTAGCTTATAGGATCTTGTTGTAATTCAAATTCATATCATGTAATCTTTTATTTGTTATAAATAGTGATTTGTATATCTCGAATATTAGGTTAATTAAATCATTATATGGTATCGACTTTTCTACGATCCTTCTAGCCAGCCTGTTCAATCTTTTCTCGATCTTCACAATGTCACCTGTTTCATCTTCTTCTACTGCCGACGGTACCCTGTCCCTCAACACCATTCTGCATTTATTGTCTATCAAACTATATGTTGGGTGACAACAAAACAAAGTTAAGCACTTCAGAGAAATATAAAAACCAAACTCTGGTGAACTCACAAAACATCTAAAAAATATAAATCAAAAGAACACGATATTTAACGTGGTTCGGTCAAGATTACCTACGTCCACAGGCGAAACGAGAGAGAGAGAGAGAGAGAGAGAGAGTGAGAGAGAGAGAGAGAGAAATATATATATATATATATATATAGAGAGAATTTTATTAACTTTCTGGAACTATTACAAGCACTCAAAATTGTATCTCACTTTGAACTCTCACAAAAATCTAGCAATGTACAATGATGGGGGTATGAGCCTACTTATACTTGAGGGATTAGACCTAAAATCCCAATAAGCCAAGCTCATTGGACCAAATGCCCATGAATGGTGACAACCAATCATCTTCTGCCATGCAACATCTTCTGGAACATTCTTCCATGTCGTACAACCTATGAGCATCAACAACACACATGATGGACCATATTGACCATAGTGGAGCATCATGATGCACAAGTGGCACATCATGAAAACTAATGGTCTAACATCCATCAGGGTGTAAACCTTGAGCAATACCAACTTTTTAGCATCTTTGAATGATCCTAAGAATCACAGAAGACTTCATGTCATACTTGGCTCATCAAGGACAAAGATGGTCCATCTTGCGGCCATCATGGCGCAATAGGAATATAGATGACGCAAGTGGCTTCAAGTGTGGCACAATAGCATCAAGATTGGAGCAACACCACCACCATGACGCAATAGGAACATGCATGGCACAACACGTCCATGCATGGTGCAAGAGTATACCTCATGACGCAAGAGGAGTACCCCACAGAGGAAAAGGAATCCTCGTGGTGCAAGATGAACCCCTCATGGAGCAAGAGGGTGCATTATGATGCAAGAAGGAATTTCATGGCACAAGAACATCCTTCATGGCCCATCCCTTTAAGATATGGCGCAACACGATCCCCTTGTTACACTATATCACTCCTAAATGCTCCAAACCTCTTCAAGGTGCTCCAAACCCCCTTCTGCATGATCTGTTCCTTTGGAACCTCATCTATTTCTTTGTCAAATGATCCATTACTTTCTCATATGTTTTGTTCCTTTGTCGCATGCTCCATGAAGCCCAAGTGATCCATTGTGATCTAAGTGCTCCATGTTGGACAAGACTTCATACCCCAACAATCTCCCAGTTGAAGGCTTGAACAACTTCACCTGTCATTAAAAATTACACCATTACACAAAGTACCCCCCTATGTCTTTCTCTCTCTCTCTCTCTCTCTCTCTCTCTCTCTTTATCTCTGCCAAAATCCTTCTCTTCAAACTTCCGAAAGGCCAATTGAAGCAATGAGAAACTTCAACTTCTCAGTGGTAACCACCTTGGTGAAAATATCAGTTGGATTCTTAGTTCCAAGGATTTTATTTAAGTTTAGAGTTCCTTCATTGATTAACCCCTGAATGATATGGTACCACATTTGAATGTGTTTCTTTGTACTATGAAACATTAAATTCTTTGCTAAGTGAACTACACTTTGGTTGTCACAATGCAGTACCCAATCCTCATACTGCATTCCAAGTTCTGACAAGAAAATCTTCTGTAACATCAATAAAATCTAG